TAATAATAATAATAATGATAATAATAATATGATAATAACAACAATAATAACAACAAAAGCAATAACAGTAATAATAATAATAACAATAATAATATAACTATAACAACTAGGAATACGAATAAGAAAAAGAATATTTATCTTTATCAATATTTTTATTATCATCATTATTCTGCCAAAGGCAATGAGAAAACGACTTTTTGTTACAATGATGACTGTTTAAAAAATGAATAGCGCTATAGCACACATGTCACCGGATAAGCTGCCAAAGTCATCAATCAAAGTCATTCCAAAAGTCAATGAATTCAGTACAGCACTACAATTGTTTGTTTTAGTAGAGGTTTTACGGTGCTCGCAGCCGCATAAGGTCATATGAGTGCCAGAAGATTAGAGGTGTTACAAGAGAGTAACAAACATTTTAAAAAAGAAGGAGGGGAGATCAGGACGATAGATGTGTGATATGAAAGAAGAATAAGCAAACCACAGCAGAGCACCCGCCAACCACCCACACTCAACAATTGCCTTTGCCATAATCGCTATGGTTACAAGCAAGACCGTAATCTAAGTCTTGGACACCTCCGTATGTTCTATCATTACTATCTATCGCCAGCATCGTCACCATCATTACCATTATCATTAAATAATCATTACCATTATCATTAAATAATCATCATTAAAACATCAACATCGAAAATATCATGTTACCACATGCCATCCTCACCTCATATATCGCCAGCATTACCACATCAACATCGTCACCATTATCATCAAATAGCTATCATTACCACCACCACCACTACCACCATCGCCACCATCATCACTATAAATGTATCACCATAGTCATCATATCACCATTGTCACCATGACACCATCGTCACCCTATTACCATCATCAATATCATCATTATCATCTTTGTATCACCACCATCGTTATCACATCACAATTGTTTTCATAACACATCGTTATCATATCACCATTGTCACCATAACACCATCGTCATTATAATTATCACCATCGTTATCATATCACCATTGTCTTCATAACGCCGTCGTTATCATACCACCACCATCACCATAAAACCATAGTTATCATATCACCACCATCACCATAACACCATTATAATTATCACCATCGTCACACTATCACCATCTTCCCCTTCCTGTACTGATATCATGGAATAAACAACTGCTGTTGTTTTGATTAGAAAGTTATATTAAATCATTTCGTAATCAAGCGAGCCAGCGAGAAGACGAGAGAGTAGAGCACTTCGTTGTTTTTCACATACATGTGGCGTTCTGAAGCAGCTGCAGCGATTTCACACTTTACTGACATTAAGAAAAGAGGAGAGGGCAGAAACTTCAGGGTCAATAATAGTATGTTGGTTTGATTTGAAGTACATGTAATCTTTTGCTTTAATTATAAATCGATCGATAATAATATCATGCTAGCTGCATGCATGTGTTAGGTTAAATAATGTGTGTGTGTCTGTGTGTGTGTGTGTGTGTGTGTGTGTGTGTGTGTGTGTATGTGTGTGGTTGAGTGTGTGTCAGCGCTGTTGTGGTTGAGTGTGTGGTTGAGTGTGTGTCAGTGTGTGGTTGAGTGTGTGTCAGTGTGTGGTTGAGTGTGTGGTTGAGTGTGTGTCAGCGCTGTTGTGGTTGAGTGTGTGTCAGCGCTG